CCATAGCCATAGTTCAGAGCCGAATTGCCATGCACACCTAAGCCACGTGCTGGGGTTTATTGGGACACGCTGAACCCCGGGAACCAAGAGAGATAGCTTCTGAATCCTAAAAACGACACATCCAAATACGACTGCGGGGATCCCCCGAAACCCAACTCAATAGGAGAGCAAAACCAAAGCTAGGGGTGTCAACAACCTATGATGTCCCTGTGAATGGACATCAACCAGCTTATATATATATATGTGTGTGTGTACCGTGATGACCTTCCTTTTGACAAGAATCCGTGCATGTCGTTTTCGCCTTGGTACCAAATCCAGCCCTTCAGAGTCATGTTCGAATAGGGCATCACTCGCTCATCGTGGTACTTCTGGTTCCCCGCGCTGATCGAGGCCTGGGGAACACCCGAGCGCAGCGCTTTGGAAGGGACAGGGCCCGGGCAAAGAAACCGAAGGGAGCGCCCCAGCCAGTGGCATGACCAAGCAGTGGATTGAGAATGGGAAAAACTTTAACCCTAAAAAAAACCAGAGAATCTGTGGAAGCTCTGACAGGTTGCATTCTTGCAGGTGGCAATGGTCTTGTTGTCCAGCCAAGCCTCAATCATGCCTCACGTTTCCCACAGAGACCGCATCTACAGCATTCAAAGTACATCGAAATGCCAGTAGTGGATTTGTCAGTCAGAATCTGATGCCCCTGCATGAATGGTACTCAAAGCAAGTCTCTCTGCTGCCCTTCCCCCAAACTCTCGACTGACGCCTAACTTGTAAAAGAAAGGCTTCGTGTCCATTTCAAACGCAAGAACAGCGCGCATCGGCGAGAGAATGTTCTTCGCAAGCGACTTCCACCCCAGGCAGTGTGGATCAGGCCAATGGGTGTGTCATCGTTCAGCCGATCAGAGAGGCTCTCCGCAAAGTACCAGCATGTTGAAGAGTACCTCAACCCTAGACTTCCGAGACCATTTTAAAAATGGTTGCCCTGGTGTTTGTAGTGTAATATCCTTAGTTGATTCGGTAAAGCCTGTTAAATTCATGGTGGTTGGAAGCCTAGGGTCAAGCTCCCAGCGATGTACGTGGCCGCCAGGAATGTACGTGGAGGGAGAGTCCGCACCCGGGGGTTTGCTTTCAGTGCACGTTCTGCATCCTTGATCTCGAGGTCTGGGAGAAGGAGTTTGGGCCCTCTAACACACAAAAGGGATCCGAAGTAGGCTGGTGAGATGCAAAAAAACAGGTTGCCGAATCTGAATCCAGAACTTCTAAAGATCGTTTTCGTCAATCGAAGGGACACGACGATCTACATCATTTTGCCGCTGAACATCGACTTCTCTGACGAACCGAGGCCTGGCGGCGCCAGGAGACGTCCCTTTTCCCCACCCTCTTGAGGTGACGATCCTGCATAAATGCGGAAAATCCATGGAAGATTCACAGGACATGTGTCGGACACGTTCACGCACGTGTGTAGGGGTGCCATCTCATGGGTGTAGACTACAGTGAATCTACAGAATCTACAGATACTTCGTCTGTTCTGTCCTGGTCCAATCCTGCCAGATGAGTCATCCACCTCCCGGAGGCCGGGAGGCGATGGGTCCCATCGCCCAAACCGACCTTCCGACCTCCGTCAGGAAGAAGCTGCGTCTCTTGAAGCAATCCGATAGCTCCCTGCCCAATGGGTTTGGCATCCCTGCATCCCTGCCATCTCCCTGCCGAAGAGCTTGAAGAAGGCGCAGTCACCTTTCTCGCAACTTCCAGGGCTCTGAATGGCATCTGAAACTTTCTGCCATGGTTGAGTAGGGTTCATGTTGCCACTCATTCCGTGGATTCGAATGTTGGCGTACCTGAAGTCACATGATGCGGAAAATGACTGCAAGCCGTTCTTTTCGTCCAAAGGTACTACAGTAGGCGCTTCAGTGGTAAAATACGGAAAGCCTGCCAGCTATATAAGCTGTGTCACTTCCCTGCTTTGATCGCATCAACGCTGATGTTTCGAGACATGGTGTGAATCAAAGGCAGCGCCATATTGCTCTGACCCGAACAATACCTCAGACCGTGGCGACGCGCCGGCGCTCGCTAACGAGAAAAAGGCACCGGTGTAGTTCGGTGGGGTCTGTGAGCACCGGGAAAAGGGAATGTCAACCTGGTCTGGGGGTTGGTTTTTCTCCATACCCACCGACCTTAGTGACTTAGTGGTGAGTCAAAGGTCTCCAGCTTTGCTTCGGTGCCCCCGTTGGTGAGCGGACAGTCGGTGACGCCCAGAGGCCACACGTCTCCAAAGGTCACCGAGTTCATCTCCTCAGGCGCCGAGCCCAAAGAAAAGACGAGTATAACAGGTGCATCGCTACTGGTAACAAGTGCATTACTACTAAGTAGCAAATAG